TTGGAGTTTCCTGTCTCTAATATTTCCATATCTGGTCTCGGATTTCGTCTAACTCCGTTCTCGATATTAAGACAGGCATATAACGACATAGGTCTACAATTTTTTCAAATTTCAGCCCGTGAGGTCATGGGTCGACGCGAAATAACGGATTGGAATGTTTAGAATGTCAATCGGAAAAATCTAGCTTTGCCTCTGACTGTGATAGACGTAACAAAATTTGGAATAAATATAGCATTCCTTTCAAAGCAAAATTGTCGCTTTGTAAGTAATGAAGTCATAAAGAAAAATTCTCAGATGTCAGAAATAATTATATCATGGCGTGAGATACGAGCGAAAGTTTCAAAGTTGGATCAACACTTGCGGACCATGTCGAACGGAAGGGTCAAATTGATTAATCGATCAAATTAAGAATTTAGGGGGGAGAGATCCTTTAAAAAGCAAGAAATTCGAGAATGGCCGCTTTTCCCTGGCTCAATCTTTTATCCTCTGTGTCGGTTTACCTGTGGTCTCTCGGACTTCATTTTCGTTCCGCCGTATTATAAAGGTTTTTTTTTGTTTTTAATATTAACTTCCCGGCATTTAAAACTGCGTGTGGCGCAATTGTTACATTTTATTAAAACGAAACTGGTAAATATAAATTGTAAATGCTAATCATGAGAAAAATCCTCATTAAGTCTGACACTACTCTAGATATGATACAAGACTTCCTTTATCTCCCGCTTCGACCTTTAACCATCAAAATTTACTAGCACCAATCCTCCTAATAAACAAGACTCCTTGCAAAATTTCAGAAATTTTCGACAAAATCACAGGAGTTATCAAGCTTCCAAGAATGAACAAAATCGTGCCCATCACACACACAACCAAATCCTAATGTTTTTGCATTTCTCGACGTTTCAAGATCCAGAGTCCAAAAATGTAAAAGTCTTGGGATGTCTTTTTGATCGATCGCCACACTTTTCTTGTTTTATACAGTATAATTAAACCGGGAAGTAAAATGCTTCTGCACAAGGTTGTAAATGATACATTTTGCGAAGTAAAGTTCATTCTTAATTTTGTTTAAAGTATCTTTCTGCTTTCAAAAATAATGTTCTTATATTGCTGAGATTGATGCCATTTTTTCCTCTCTCTAAGACGGCTGCAATATTTCTAACTGAAAAAAGTTATTTGAGAATTTATAAGATATATTGGTAATATGCACAGAACATCTATTTATCTAAAAAATTTCTTGACAATTTTCATACTAATGAAATGTTTCCATACAAAAACAATTGTGAATGATTTCTACAGTCTATTGTTTGTAATTAATATTTCTATAAAATATTTACATATAAGCATTTGCCTATGACCTGTAGAATATAAGCTGAATATTTTATTTTTTATTTCTATTAATATTTGAAAACAAAATTTATTCTATCAGTAAAGAAGTAAATTAATTATAATAATGAAACAACAACACTGTTTAAATACAAAATAAAAACAATAAAAAATAATTACATTAAAATACTGATGGATCATTAAATTTGAGATTGTATGTAAATAAATAGTAAAGATGTAATTTTTACAATTAAATGTTAAAATTAACAGCAATTTGAAATATTAGTTAAAAGTTAATTTTATTTTAATAGAGATTTAGCTTAATTATTTATCTTTCAATTTTATCCACAGTTTTCATTACTTCCAAGTTTAACTTAATCTTCATAATCTTTTAACAATGGTATTAATACAGAGCAAACTAACTTTTGTAGAATCCAAAACTATTTTCGGTTTTCTGACTAATTATTGTAATACTTAAAATTATCAATTATTTTATATTTGTATTCTAGTATGTTTAATAATGCGGCAATGAGTGTACAAGGAGTACTAAAAATATTCTCAACAGTTTTCAAATTCAGGTAATAAAATCTGTTATTTTTATTCTGTATTGATTTTATCTTCAACAAATAACTGCTAACTTTTTATGTACTAAAAAGAACATGTTATAGCAAAGCATTTAATCAAAATTTCTGAGAATCAAACTGTAGTACTTATTATTTTGACAATAATCAGTTTTTTGGTTTAAGATATACAGTTTCAAATGCAACTATTTTATTTGAAAAAGCTCTGAAGATAATTTCTTTCGAACATGCAATAAGGTCTTGTTTTATGTGGGATCGTTATATTTAGATTCATGTTTTTGTGTATGGTGAATGATTGAGTTAATACGTTCCTAGTGCTACTGAATCTGACTCTAGTTAACAAACTGCACTTCTCTAACTTCTGATATTTCAAACAGAGAAATATCTAATGCTAACTGGTGAATATCCTATTTTGCATGCACTGGACACAATCTTTTTCTCAAGTAGTATACTGGATATAGTATAATAATATATTTGTATATTCAGAAACAGACTAAAACATTATCCATTACAGTAAAACATTTTAAACCCATTTTAACATTTTTCTGTTAACTGTAAAAGTACAGTTAGCAGAAAAATGTTAAAATGCCACTTAAGAGTCTATGCACGCATCTGAAACTACTTGGTGCAGAGCACAAATTTACATGAATTGTATTTTACATGATAACATATAACACATGTAAAACAAGACCATACTCTACTCACTTTGATAATTCCAATAAAAACGTTAAATCAAACTTTCATTATAAACAAATTATGAACAATAATAAACCTGAAAGTGAATACTTACAGTTCCAGAATATATGGAGAATAATTTTTATATTTTGCTCATTTTTTTTTGAGATGATTATTTACAATAATAAATGTTGCCTTAAAATATATATACAGGCTTCTGTTTTTTGAATACTCATAAATCATAATTAATATATTCAATTTTGTTTTCAGAAATAATAATATAGAATTTAAGTATTTTACAGATTATTTTTTGATCCTTCAGTATACACACTATTTCTATTGTTTTCACTGAAGGATCTGCGATGACTAGAAATGTGATTGACTGTTTCCGGTGGTATCTTTCTTCTCTCTGATAAAAGCTCTTAACAAAAATATTTGTGTTTTATTTTAATTTACATGCTTTTTTAATATTTTACTAGCAAAAGATTTCAAAATATTTTACTAGCAAAAGATTTCAATGTACACTTATTCATTTTCTAAATTTATTCTAAATCAACACTAACATTTATACTACAAGTAAATTGACTGATTTAATAGTGAGCTATAATTTTAAACATAATTTTGATAATTACTTATTTTGTTATATATGACTGCAAAGAGTTTGTAATTTATTCTAAATATTTCTTTGATATAAACATAATTCAAAAAATTTTTCAAAAATACCATTGAAAAATAAACATTACTTTAAATTTACTTAATGCAACATCTTAAACAAAAATATAAAATAACTGTCTAGAATCAAGTGTGTTCCTGAAGATTTAATAAAAATATAACGTGAACTTTTTAGAACTTTATTAATAAACAGTTCAACTACTAATAGTTTATCATTAATATAAATTTAAGCATCCATCAACATCTGATTTCTCACATACTTGAAAAATTCCACATTTTATTTACAAGTAATGTACACAAAGTAGCATGATTTTTATTAAAAGATATTTCAAAAAGCTCACATAATTAAAATTTCAACTACAGTAAAATTCTTTTCATCCAGTATTTTTACTTATAATTAGTATTATTTTGCAAACTATATGTTTATTATTCTTTCCAATATACGAATGCTGAAATTTATTAAGTCAATCAAATACTTAAATCACATAACAATTTGTTTTATTATTAAGGATTATTAATTTTAACATTACTCAGAAACATTTTTTATTATCAGAAGAGCATCTTGAGTCAACTGAGTCAGTTCAGGAGAATACTGTAGTTGATGAATCTCATTTAAACTGGCATCTTTATGATCTCATCTGTGCCAGATTAAGTCAGTGAATTTTACTATAGTTTCTTAACAGCTGTTTGAATGAAAGGCAATATATTAGTTTTTTGTTCAATTTTTAAAAAGGATGGACTGTCTTGCTATAATTCAGAATACACAATAATTCATTTAACCAACTTTATGTAGAATTATATGAAATTTTGTAGATCTGAAATTTAAAAAAATTTCACTTTTTTTTATACAGGAAGACCAAGAAGATTAGAAAAGTAATCTTTATAATAACAAAAAATTTAATTCTGAATAATTATGAAATTGTTAATGATCATCTCAATTGTTTGATATGTTATGTAATCAAGTATGAAAAATAATCTTTTGATATAAAACTTAAGATTTTGAATAAGCAATTGGCTGAACTTAATAGTAGCAACTACCATATCAACTGTGATAAGCTTATGAAACTATCAAGTCATATAGATTGTTACTCATGCTGGTGAACTAGATGCAAATGATCCTGAAGAAGCATTGCTAACTTCTTGGCCATGAAGCTAAATTTGCCATTGATGAAAAACAATACACACTTTACTCGGTAAACGTCTTTTCAGTTTCAAAGATTTTTAAAAATTGTGTTGTAGATTTATATACATGTTACAAGTATTATTAAAATTTAATAAATTGCCTTTTAACAAATATAAAATAGAATCTTAAGAAATTAGATTAATGTGAAACACAAAAGATTAATATATATATATATTAATATTAATTATTAAATTCAGTGAGTGTAAAATAAGTATAAATAATCTATAAAATGTATAAAGAAAGTTAAATTTAAACAAAGAAAAATAGCTATGATGTAAAGAAATGTGCAATTGATACTTAGTATATGTAAATTCATACTTACTATTATTGTTCTGAATTTTTCTGAAAATATCTTTAGAAAAGCTACAGATACAAAGATTATGGCAAGACCAATTCAATGAGGTACAATGAGAGAAGATAAGACTATACACAATCTGTTTATTTATTTATTTATTTCTCACAATAAATAATATTTATTGCACAAATATCTTAGTTTAGATTTTTTTAATTATTATAGTTTATTATGTTTAACAGTAAATAAACTTTTTATTTAAAATTCATTATTGTTCTTATTCAATCCATAATATTTATGAATATGCAATATTTCTGTATGTATTTGTCATATTAAAAAGAATAAATATAAACCTGGTTTTCTGCAGTTATTATAATTTTAGAAATTATATATAAATTGACTTAATTCATTTGTTAAATCTATCAATTCACTTCAAATCTGTTCTTTAAGATTGTTATTACAATAATGTTTGTTCTTCTGATTCAAAATTGCTTTATGCAAAAGAAAAAACAGCATTCCAAATCACCATCAAATCCATTGTATGTCTTGCTTACTCTCCTAGTACTGTACATTTGAAGATCATACCTCAGAAAGCCAAGTCATATTTGACATCTTTGTTTTGATATATGAAAGAGATGGACAGTCTCATTGCACTTCACTGTATTATATCTTGCTCTCTGCATGCCCAGAGTCTAAGGATACTAGTATTTTTCTACCACAGATGATATCAATTTGTAATTTGAATTCAATGAAATATTTTATCATTGAAGAGGAATTTCAAAGAAAAAAAAAACACACACATTTCTTCAAAATTTTTAACATAGATATATACATTTCCACCTAAAGCACAAGTTTGCAAGATGACAACACTTTTGAATACAACTGAACACGAGATTTATACATTCAAACTAAATAGCCATTCTAATAATAGGATAAACTATTTATTATACAGTATTATCTAAATTGGTCTTTCAAAGAAATATTTTTATACAAACTAGCTTCAATCAATCTGCATGATTCTAAAAATCTACTTTCTAGTATAATGTCAAAATAAAATTAGATACATTTTACACTAACTGCACATATAGTCTTTTGATCAATTTGATCACAAAATTGTGTTGTTTTATACTTACATATCTTCTTAACACATTGAAAAACAGAGAAGTAACTCTTATAAGCTTGTCATTTTTATATTTGAATTGTTTTCTGAATCTTGTTCAACTTCAATATCTAAAAAACAAGATCTTTATAACAATTATCTGCTTAAGTTTTAAGCTAATTTTAATTAGCTTGAAGCATAATTAGCTATACAATTTTAAAATAATTAAATAATAAAGTTAATGATACTTTATTTCAATATTATGTGGCAAGACACTTTTTGATTCTAACAAAAAATTTTTTGAACAAGAACTAACATTTCTTAGTAATACATAGTTCAGTAATATACAGCACCTTATTTCCATAAGCAGAAGTGTTTCTTTGCTTTCACAAATTCACAAATCTAATGATAACTTCCAATTAAAAATGTTAGTCTTGCTTAATAAATATTTTTGTTGGGATTAAAAAGATATCTTTCTATTTAATTGTTGTAATAATGTAAAATATAGATTCTTAAATATTCAAAAAACAAACATTTGAAACTATTTCTGCTGCTAAAATATGAGTCTATAAAATAGAATTTACCATATATAGAATATATATTGCAATTCAGTTCACATCTTGTTACTCAATGAATTTGCTTTAAATCTTCTAAATTCTAATGAAATTATTGCAAAATATCTTGTATTGCAGTCAGTATTATATTTAATAACATCATGCAAGTCCATGCTTGTCATCATATGTGTGGAAACATTATATATATTTACACATGCATTTAGTTACACAGATCATAGGTAACAATCTATAATGGTGTTAAATAATTTCCAAAATACATCCAATCAATCCTGGATCCTCCTGTAAGACAAGAAATAAAGTTTTATTCACGAATAAAATGAAATTATTCCAAACAAGCAGTGGTATTTAAGCATCAATACACTGTTTTGCATCAGTATTGGTCTATTTCAAGTCCAAGTTAAATTTGATTTGATTCCATTATCAGTCATAAAATAAAACAGTAATAAAATATTAAATTATAATTACAATACATGTAGTTTTTATTTTACTGAATTATTAATATTTTACTTCAAATCATTCTGTTTCTTATGAAAAAGACTTAGGGGGAAAAAAACAGGATAAATATATTTAGAGACAGACTTTCTCTGCTTTATTATACTTTAGAGGTTCAGATTTTATAATCACCAACAATAGTCTTTTTATTATTCTTTTTAATCCAACAACATTATATCAATTTTTTTCTTGTTTAACAAACTATATTTCTATGCAATTAGGATATAATCACAGTGCACAAAAACAAACACTATCACAAAAATGTAAATACTGTATTCTTACAATTACACTATGTATAAGTAGTAAAAATAGAAAAATATAATAATAAATAATGTACTATAACTATAATCACTCACAATGCACAATAATTTCATCAATTTCCAGAATTATCCAAGACACAAATTTCTGTGTATATATTTCTTTTTTGATGCTTATTTTTTTATGATCAGAAAATTAAATTTTATTAATTTTACAGAGGAGGCTGTCTCTTTTCTTCTATCTAATAAGAGGAAGCTTCAGACTTTCTTACATACTATTCTACGTTGTGAATACGGAAATAAATATACAAATATGCAGAAGCAACTTGAATATATATAATATATATATATACTGTATACGTATGTAACTGAATGTGTGTATTTAGTATATATATATTTAAGTATACATACGTACATACACAGTATATCACAAGTCAATAAATATAAAATAATAACAACAACAGCAATAAATAATATTAAAAATAAATACTTGAATAATAAATAAAATGACTAGTTTTAACATTGATCAACTGACACAATAACAAACAATTCAACAATGCAAAAATGTGGTAAAATATTACAGTACAATTAATGTACTCTTCCATTATTTATACCACAATTTTTCTTATCCAACATTTGGAATGTGATCAAAATCATCGAGTTTGATACTCCATATTTTATGTCAAGATAATATATATGTATATATATTATTTCGATTCAAAATGTTTGCAGTTTAGTGCATTTTGAGAACAATAAAAATGATACATCAACAAAAAACAATTTGATTAAATAAAAATGTGATAAATGTAAACATCAAACGATATTCACTTTACATCTAACACGGTTTATATCTAAACATTTAAAATTCACATACATTTTAAAGGCTCGCATATTAATGAAACATTTGATTTATTCCCTAAATATAAATCACTGTATATTACCAACTGGTAATAAATTTCATTCTCTTCAATTAATGGTTTGGTAACTGAATAAAAAAAACAAAGTTATATGCATAGTTACAAGGGATAATACTTCTTATTAACAATTCCTAATTATAAAATATTATGATGATTTTCTTTAGTTTCTAAGCCCAGAGAAAAAATGGAATGTGTTTTCTTGTAAAATAATATAGCATTTGCCACTGGTTTACATGAGAAAAAGCTGCTTAAAACTANAAGTGCAATCAATGAGAACAAGGATGTTGCTTGAAGACTAATCTAACTACCATATTTGGATACTGCCCAGACTGAAAGAGAAAAAAATAAATTTATAAATTTCAATTTCATATGATTATTTCAAACTAAATATTTTATCATTAAAGATATAGTTTCAAAAAAATCTTAAAAACTAGCACACAGAAAATTTTAAGGATTCTTATTATTTGAAATTCAGTAACACCTCACTAATACAAACACAATATATACATTTAAAAATTTTTTTTACATATGCTTTTATAAGAATTTCATGTATACATGTATAAATTTACAAATACAATAGTTTTAATCAAATCAAGAAAGAAATGGCACCGAATTTATCCGAGTTAATTTTCAGCTACAATTTTATTATATTAAATAATTATTAAAATATGTACAGTGTTACCATTTGTACACATTTTATAATTAGAATATTGAACTGATTAATTAGTAATTTAAAAAATGTGGTATATAAATAATAACAAATAAATCAGCACAGACTATAATTCAAAATTGCTATGCTTCAAACCAGGTGGTGGAGGTATTACCAGTTGTGCTACATTTTGTCAAACTAGATATATTTTAGAAAAAATATGTAACAGATTATTTTCTTAGCTTGTAAATAGACTTGTTCACAGACTTTCTAATGCATACAGCTTCATATAATTTCCATACTGTTATTTATATATTTGTGAAATATATTTAATCACATCTAAACCAAATTTTAATACATTATAACTAAAAATAACTAGGATAAAATCTGATAGTATCTGATTCTTGATTTGATTTGCATAATTTTATTTTTATGTTTTCTGCCTTGTGTCATTGCGCAAACTTGATTAACCTGATATTCAAGATGAACAACATTCAAACTAAACTTAACAAGTGAAGATGAGATTAAACTTTATATTACTAGTTTGCATATTATTATAGTATATTATGTTAGTAATTAGTGTACTGGCAGTTATGGAGTATGTTGATACTCGGTATGGCTTAAAGCTTTCAGCTAACAAGGCAACTGTTGGAATGTCTTTTAATAAATATTAATAAAATTTAGTTAATAATTACATTAAAAGTATACAAACTCTATATTAGATTTATAATATTCACTAAAAGTGTTAGTACAACATTTAATTGCTATTAACTCTAATTAACACTTTTAGTGAATATTACAAATCTGATATAGAGTTTGTATACTTTTAACGTAATTATTAACTAAATTTTTTTATTAAAAAAAACTCTTAACAGTTTCCTTGTAAGTTAGAAAAAGTGCATCCAAACCATCAGAAGCCTATGAAGTGCACTTGTGGTTTGCAGCCAGAAAAGGTTGTTGCTCATCACTGATATAAAATTGCAAGATTTATTTTATTGTAAAGTAATTAACTGGAGGAAAGGTGAAAGTGAAAAAATATATATATATATTTCTGCTTTAGGAAATGCAGACAAAATGAATTTTTGAGAATGTGACAAAATGATGATGATATCTTTTTAAAATCTTATTTTTTCTATATAGATTTACTGTTATATTTCAAATTAAATATATTTTATGTATATAATTCAATAATTAATAATGTATACAAATTTAATTCAGTAATTCAACATACATTTTATATAATATATATACTAGCAGATGAGCCTGGCGTTGCTCGGGCAAAAAATAACAACAGCAAAGATTAAGATTATTAGATTATTTTGTACTTCTAACCCTTTTACTATATTATAATACAGTATTTGATTTATGTTTACAAAGATTATCTTACATAAGAGTTTATCACACTGAGTGCCCAATCTAACACATTTTAAAAATTCTTTATTTCTCTACTGTACACATTTCAAAAAATTTTTTAAATGTGTTAGGTTGGTCATTTGGTGTGATAAACTCTTACATAAGATAACCTTTGTAGTTATATAGCCAATCTTACCTGTTTTCATCGGGTGCAAGAATTCACTCCCTTCTTCTGAGGCTAATTAGAAAATTTTTAGATGGGTCTAAAAAAATGTTCAATTTCCCGCAAAAATGAAAAAAAAACCGCGTCTAAAATAGTACAGTAGAAACCGAGTTCTTCAGGATAATCCTTAACCCTCTCCCTCTTTCCCACAGGGAGGAATTTAAAAAAATCCCTTAGTGTACAGTACATTCTCGTGATGTACCCTAACTGTGTACCAAATTTCAACTTTCAACTCCTAAGCGTTTGGGCTCTGCACTTATTATTATTATTTATTATTATTATTATTATCATCATCAATCCATCTCTATTATATTNGTCTTTTAAATCAATTATTAAAAATAAAATAAATCTGTAAATCAACATACAAAATCATTTAAACAAACATTTTCAATCTTTTATATGACCATATCACAAAAAAATTTATATGCTTTATTTAAATCATCAATAAACAAACTAAAAAAACAAGACAATGTTAAATAAAGTACAGGCATATCCACAAAACTTGCTCGCGTTAAGAATTTTTCAGTAGAATGTCTCTTGGTCTTTAATGCCCAAATTGTATAGATTATAAATATCTCAATACAACATTTTTCTGTTGATGTTTATGCAAGAAAATTTTTTTACAACTCAAAAATGATGTGCAGTCTCAAGTTAATTTCAAACACTATTGACAGAAAATCAGAATCATGTACAGACCTTTTAAGAAGTGCATTACAGTATGTACAAAACAACTGTACGTCGAGAGTCATGTTAACTATTTGATGATCAAGAAGTTATGATTTACATCCTAAAATAATAGTTTGTTAGTTATATAGGGACATTTTATGATTTTTTAATTATGTATTATAATTTTTATATTAAAATAACAAGAAAAGGTTGATAAAAAGCATTTTCATGCAGAACAACTGATTTTTGGGAACAAATTACTGATGTTCAGTGGAGATACCTGTATACTTTAACAGTGCAGTGTAACCTTTTACAAATCTGTTTTCAACAAATTTTATCCATATAATTTGAGCTTTTCTGTTCTAATATATGAAATTATTTTATTAATAATACATATACAACTATTAATATTTTACCATTACTAAAATACTTACTTCAGGAAACCAAATCTTTAATCAAATTTTATAAAATATTTTCATCTTGATCCAGAACAACTTCAGCTTACAATTCATATAAAACGATTATATAATTACTCTTTAAAATCTTTTTTTAAAGAATGATGATACTTATATTCATTTTATTTGAAATGTAAAGCTGGAGTTGTCCTGGTTCAAGATAAAAATGTTTCTTAATATTTGATTAAAGATTTAGCTTCCTAAAGTAAGCACTCTAGTATTGCAACAAAGTGCCAGAGATAATGAAATAGTTCACAAGAAGTATTT